GATAATGTAAAACAATAAACATTGCTCACTGTTTACTTACAAGACTTTTGCAATTCTACATGTCGTTTCAACAGACTTTGCTAAGGCTCTAAGTCAAAAAACAAAATCATAAAACCATATTCAAAACATCTGCAAATTTATGTGCAGAAGAAATGACAAACAAGAATAAGCCTGAAGAATTGAAGAACTATTTCTGTTGAAAGTATTAACAGATAATATCAGAGTGAAAATCCCAGTCAACTCTAATCTGAATTAGAGACATACAGTGCTTTTGAACATCTAGATTTTTCTACCATTTTTCTACTCCATCAACTTCTGGAAGGTGTAATCAGAAGAGAAAATTCAGATTATTTTCCCAAGTATGCAGAAGAGATAGCCATTTCAAATTTATTCATGAAGTAAAAGAAGTGCACTTATTTGCAGTGTATTTATCTCATTTCATATAGGTCCTCAGGCCAGCCACAATCCAAAATATTTAAGTGTACCTAGCTCATCTATTGCAACATTTTTTTCTTTTCTGTTCAGCAAATATTCATGATACTTTCATGACAGTAACCAGCATTGACACCCTAAGTAAGAGTGACAGTAATCTTGAAGTACTATAAAGTACTTGTGATATTTGTTACATTTTTGCTCATGCATTACTATATGAGGCAGTATAAACTAAATGCCAATTTAAAGCTTTAAAATCTATACCCATAATACTTCCATTCTCAGTAAGAAAATAATAGATTTACTGATCAGGAAGGCCTAAGTCTACTGGTATCACATGCTAAACAAATCTAATATAAAAAGTATTGATCTGTAATCTTGAAACTTCTTCCAAATGAGCTCCAGAATAGCAAAAATGGAGAATAAAATAAAACTTCAGAATGATAAATAGTGCATTTATATTGAATTGAAAGATGTCATAGAATCAATCAAAAATAAAATCATTGAAGCTTTTAGATGTAGTGCAGCAACTGGATCACAATTCAATGGCAAAATCACTTACTGAAAGTATCCATCAGCATAACTCCGTATTGGGGTGTCCATTCCCTTTCTTGGAACCTTTTCTCTTTTTTGCCTTTTACACGCTTGATTGAGCAATACTTTTTACTCTGAAGCCAGGGTCTTGCATAGCACATTAAATATTTAGCATCCTATGGATCCCATCAGTTATTGGAAATCTGTATTTTTTCTTCTTTATAAGCTTAGCGGGTGATGAAATAGACAATGCATTTCTTAATGCAAAACACTTTGATTTAATAGATGAAATAAAGTTATTAAGGAAATAAAGATTTAAAAGAAATATAGAAAGTACTAAATCCTTTAGTTTCACCTAACCAACCCAACTCACCATATACTTTTTCCAGATATAATTAGAATTCTTAAATTACATGGTCTACTTTGGTCTCAACTCACTTATCAGAGTGTCATTTTGAGAGCTTTTACCTTATCTCAGGGAAGCTGGATTTTCAAACAAATGAAAAATAACTACATTCTCCCCGTGTGCCTGGCAACTGTGCCTGAATAATAATAATTTAATTGTATTTTCTTGTGTTTCATTATATGTTTTGATTAAAAGTTATTTCAGACTTTTACTTTTTTTCAAGTCAGTCAGAAACCTAGGACATCTGGACAGCAAGAAGAATAACCACATTGTATCTTCCCTATTGTTCTGTAGTGCAAATCATTAAGGTACGTGACCTGTAATTCCTTGCCTTGAGACCAGCTCCTTCTCTAGCACTAAAGACTGAACGTTTTTTCTTCCCCTCACATTGCATTCAATAGACTACGTATCATATACAAATGAATGGACCTGTCACTACCAACCTTTGTAGCATTTTGTCACAGTGCCAAAGCACAAAACAATTAGATATAAAGAGGGTACTTCAACACGTTTGCTTATGCTCGATAAAGTATGTAGTACATAGATTTTCAGGGAGTCACTACTGTTTTGATGTATGCACTACTGAAAATCCTGTCTGTTAGTTAAAGTACTGTACTGCATATGGCTCAAACAGTGTACGAAGGTTGTATGTAAATCCTGGAGATGATATCACATATCACATATAACAGATCCTGCACAGTTATGATCGCAAGTATATGTGTGGCATAGGACTGCAAGCTGGCACTAGAACAGAAAATAGTATATTAGGCAGAAAGAGCTGTATATTAACATGACTAGACTACTTTCTATACGATACAAGTCAGTATCTTTATGGGATATTCTATTGAGCCATGTGAGTGTTATGGCCTGGCACAGTATTAGCTCAAGTATCTCTGTTCTACTGCTTTTCAGAACAGAGATGCTGAAAGATAGCTTGTAAAACTGGCATAACAGTCATTCCCTTTCTCTTATTTCTAATCCCTTGCATGCTTTTTGGAGCAGCATTTCCACTCATTAATATATGGGCACTGCCTAATACAACACTGATATGACTGCAATAAAAACTCACAGATGTAACAGATTATTCAAGTGAATCAGATCTCCACTACCAAGCTAAAATTAAAGCAGTTTAAATAGCCATAGCTTTCAAAAACACTGGGACCAACTGCTCTTCCCTTTCCATAAGAATGAAAACATATAATTAAAAAAAAAATAGAAACACTCACTAGCTAGTAGTTGAAACATATTCACAACCTCTTTTGAAGTTCTGATCACAGCTCACAGCTTACTTTGAGAAAAGTTTGACTATATACTTTCTGTGGGCTATCTCAAAATCTAGTTTTTTTGTGCTTAGATCATTTAGAATGTTTTTCGTTAATAAAAAACAAGTAATTTCCTAAGTATTCTCTCTCTCTCATTCTCTTTTTTTTTTTCTCTCTGTTTTTCTGCCTATATTTCAGGCTTACAGTCTTTTGTGTGCTACCTTGGAAACTACAATTCTAAATTAATCTGTTACAAATTTAAATGTCTCCAGCCACTTATTATCCTTTTATAATGTGCAGAGTTCAAAATGTGCAATTCCCGAAGTGCAATCAATCATAATAGTTTTTGTAAGTTATTACAGAATACTCATGTTAGCACTTAAAAGGTATTAATTTACTAAAACATGCTAATGCAATCACCTGCAATCATCTGACCATAGCCCTCTACTTATACCATATGGTCTTTGCAAAATGGATTTTTTGCAGAGCACTTGATATATACACACATTCCCCTGACACAGCAGAATAATGGACCCTGATGATCGACTGGGGTTTTCGGTAATGCAACAGCATAATCTAAAGGAAATAATTAATTGCAAACAAATAAACACAAAACGTTTCGTATCTAGATTCAGTTTGCAGTTTGGACCCTGGGCACTATGTTACAGATATCACAGCATAGATGAAGCTCGGAATTTTAATCAGATGAAAAACAGCTTTAAGGATTAGTTTAGAGAGACACTGCTCAGAAAAGTGCTGTGGGAAGCAGATGAACACTGGTATCTTTTACTGAGTCCCAAAAAAAGGAAAGAAAGAAAGTAAGAAGGAAGGAAGGAAGGAAAGAAAGAAAGAGAGAAAGAGAGAAAGAGAGAAAGAGAGAAAGAGAGAAAGAGAGAAAGAGAGAAAGAGAGAAAGAGAGAAAGAGAGAAAGAGAGAAAGAGAGAAAGAGAGAAAGAGAGAAAGAGAGAAAGAGAGAAAGAGAGAAAGAGAGAAAGAGAGAAAGAGAGAAAGAGAGAAAGAGAGAAAGAGAGAAAGAGAGAAAGAGAGAAAGAGAGAAAGAGAGAAAGAGAGAAAGAGAGAAAGAGAGAAAGAGAGAAAGAGAGAAAGAGAGAAAGAGAGAAAGAGAGAAAGAGAGAAAGAGAGAAAGAGAGAAAGAGAGAAAGAGAGAAAGAGAGAAAGAGAGAAAGAGAGAAAGAGAGAAAGAGAGAAAGAGAGAAAGAGAGAAAGAGAGAAAGAGAGAAAGAGAGAAAGAGAGAAAGAGAGAAAGAGAGAAAGAGAGAAAGAGAGAAAGAGAGAAAGAGAGAAAGAGAGAAAGAGAGAAAGAGAGAAAGAGAGAAAGAGAGAAAGAGAGAAAGAGAGAAAGAGAGAAAGAGAGAAAGAGAGAAAGAGAGAAAGAGAGAAAGAGAGAAAGAGAGAAAGAGAGAAAGAGAGAAAGAGAGAAAGAGAGAAAGAGAGAAAGAGAGAAAGAGAGAAAGAGAGAAAGAGAGAAAGAGAGAAAGAGAGAAAGAGAGAAAGAGAGAAAGAGAGAAAGAGAGAAAGAGAGAAAGAGAGAAAGAGAGAAAGAGAGAAAGAGAGAAAGAGAGAAAGAGAGAAAGAGAGAAAGAAAGAAAGAAAGAAAGAAAGGAATATCACCTTCTTCCTCTACATTCCTTGGACATACTTTCTGTGAAATACAATATCCAAGTGAAAAGACTACGGTTGCAACTAGTTTGGATCTAAAGAAGTTGTCACCAAGATGGTCCTTTCTTTTATGGATGCTATTTCCACTTTCAATCTTAATTTTTAAAAGATAGCAACATGACCACTAAGAAAACCTGTCTTCTTTGGCTTTGCCAACTAGTCTTTTTCCTTCAAAAAGGAAAAAAAGAAACACTCATTTTATATTATGCTATGTCATGTTGTTATGTATGCTTAAATCATAGCTGCTTGCTGAAGGAGAAAAGAACCAATTATCTCACAGATTAAAGAACTGGATGTTATTCTCCCTAACTCTGCTTTCTAATTTCATTTCTTTCCACTTTTTTTTTTCACTTTCTTTACTTTCATGAACATTTGCTTCAGGAATTCAATCCTTACATTCTTTTCAGAATTCCATGTGTAAGTCAGCATTTTTTAAAGTGAATAAAATATGTCAAAAGCCAACATGAAGTCATATGCTCTGTGACCCAGTCTTACTGTGGTAAGCTTCTCAGAGTAAGAATTTAGAAATTCAAGAGCCCATGTTGGTTACTTTGTAAATCCAGAATCTTACAGTATATGCCTTAAAAAAAAAATCCTTAGGATTGCCTTACGTTAACATTCTGAAGATCAAAATGAAAAGTGAATTTACGCAGTTTACATAATGTTTTTATTACTAATTTGTTTACCGTGTTAGCTGAGTTTCCATTTAAATGTAAGCCACTGTCAAAGAGAGGTGATGAAGCTCCACTGCTGTGATCACTAGATGGTCCAGGGGAACCTGAAATCAGATGAAGAAAGATAACTTTTTATGTTACATTACTTTATATCATATTATATGTTGTTAATTATATGTTAATATTACATCATATTATCATATATTATATAATATTTCAAAGAAAAAAAGGAAGACACAATGAGAACTTTCAATATAAACTACCAAAAGAGAAGCACTGCTTGTATTTCAGAATGACAGCCGATAAAATGTGTCTGCCATATATGCTACTTTATACGTCCAGAAAGATAAAAGCTGCTGGACAGATGTCATTATATAAAGACTGTGCTCAGGGGAATTTCTAATATGCTTAACTGTTAGCAGGATTAAACCCTTTTGCACTGAGAATGATATATTTAAAACCAAGTAAGTAATTTAGTTACAAAAATCCCATTAATTTTATGAATACATTTCTTATTCACTATTGATTGACTCTTCCTACAGTATAACCATGGTCTGTATTTATAGACAAAGCTAGTAAGAACCTCTCAGGCAAGCACTAACTGTACAGATAAGTACCCTTTATTAATGAATTTTTTTGTTAGAAGTGCCCATTATGTTAAAGTATGAGGTACATTTTAAAACAGAGAGATTAAAAGTAAGAAGCCATTTTGCAATGACAGTCTCAAAATTATCTCTGAGATAAATCTTTAACAGTTATACATCATTATACTGCCTTAATGGTTAATTTGACTCTAGGTTAGCTTGATGCATCTCTATTTACTAACCAACTTTTATAATGGAAGCAGTACGAATTCACATCATTGTACATTTTTTAAAAAAGTATAATCTTAATATATAGCTCTTATTACATACTTCATACAATTACCATCAGACAGGACTTGATCTTAACAATAAAGTAAATAAAATCAATTTCACAGTATTATATTCATCACCCCTGAAAACTCCGTTTTTTTTCAGTCTGAAGAAATCACCTGAAATTGCCTGTAAAATATTTCACATTAATAGGTTTTTAAAGTGTAACATCATGAAATTCTTAAAGTCATTTTTGGCCACATATTTTCATATGCTTTTATACCACATATCTGAAAGATTTAGTAAAATGGAAGCTAGTTCAACAAAAGCTCATTGTCTCCATAACAAATCTCTGTCAGTTCAGTGCTGAGCTTTCAAAACAATACTCTGATTCTGAAGTTCCAGCATGTTTTAACTTGCAGTAATTTCTGTATGTCTAGGTGAGGCATTTGTAATGGCTTTATATCTGTGATGGCCATGGAAACTGGCTGATGGCCATTCATTTAATTAATCATATTTGAATATTCATTTTACAAAACATTTGGATATTTAGATAGTATAGATGCAGTTTGCTTATATATGTCTAACTAACTCAAGCACAAATAGTAGTAACTATAACACTTTATGATGAGTTTCACGTATACGAACACAAAAATTTATATTATTTGGACTAGTCAATGATCATAACTTCCTGGAAATAATTTCTACATTCTCGATAAAAACATTTAAGTAAAACAAAATAAAAACATTGAAGTTGACATAAAATTCTCTGCTGTAGATCCCCTCCATTATCTCCCGTAATTATCACAAATACGTGAATCTACTTAATAGACTCATTTAATACTTAAAATTGAACTATCCATTCTCTACTATTGATTTAACCTATCAAATACATGAATTTTAGAGATTCCTAAATCTCTAAATCCATGTTGACTAAAATAGACTTGCAATTGAGTTCACAAGCCTTTTAGCTTGCTCCCTGCTCATTGTGCCTCACATACTCACGGATTGCCCACTCACGGCCACATTTAGCACTTTTGAAACTGCCCCTGGATATGCTCAAATGCTTTCATGGAAGGTGCTGTTCTCTCATCTTTCCAAACAGAGATAGATAAAAAGAGAGCAAACACACAACACACAATGTACTCATGTGAAGTAAAACTTATACTGTCTGCTCCTGTAGTCTTTGCCCAAGTAGATGAGACTTCAAACTAAATGGGTTTAGTATTAGTCCAACTCTGGAAAGTGTTGGACTAGTGTTCAAGAAGCACTATCTATACAATATCCTAATGGATACTCATGTCAGATACTACGCATTTGATACATTACGAGGTTTTCACCATCTTTTTATTACTTAGCTCTCATCTTACCCTACCCAAATTGTAATTAAACAGTCAATCCATGAGAAATGTGAATGCAGACTATGACAAGCTGTATGTGTTTAATGTGCTTATTCTTAGTTGTGTTATTTTATTTTATTTTATTTAGAAAGCTGGGTTAGGAAGGATTTTGTGGTTGATGAGAAGATTGACCTTTACTTGAACAACAGTTGAGTACAATAAGAGAATGCAACTCGGTCTTCAAGGTGAGAAGGAGTCAGAGAAGGAGCTGTAGCAACAATACAGCAGTTTGCAGCTCACAAAAAGAGACCTCCTGAGGGTTCTAGGAAGCAGAGCCAGATCTCAGAGGTGAGGGAAAGTGTCACAGGGGCCCCTGCAGTGTTAGCAATAACTCAGGAGATCACTGAGTTAGATGAAACTAAATCTGAAAGCAAAAACTCATTTGCAGTTGTTCAGGTGTGGGAATTGTTTATAAATCTTCTTCATTTCTATTCTTTCTGATTGAAGCACTCTGATTTTTTAATTTAAAAAGTTAAGCACTCTACTTTTTATTTTAAAATGATGTGGATTCTGTTAAAAATCATAAACTTGCTAGACCTAGAAGGTCACTGGAGCCCCATCAACAGATGGCTCTTTATTTCAGTCGATGAATTACAATAAACATCTGAGCAAAAAAAATTATCTGACTTGCTAATTATGTCATAGAAAAGCTCCAATGGACAAACCTGAAAAAAGACTATTCCAGTCAAACCACAAAATAAAACTGAAGGAAAAGCTCCTAATAAATTTTAATTACACTTGCAACTTCAGAATACTCTGCTTATTTTGTCTAACTATCAGAAAAAGAAATTTCTTAAGAGAGTCTGATTGACAATAAAATATTCTCAGGAAATCTTTCCAGCAGCAGTGAACCTTATCTAAAAGGGCCCTACAAGGCCCTTAGCGCTCTGCTAAACTGTCATGCATAATGGAGTCAGTCCCAGACACAGCAAAGAATCCTAACAACTAATTAACTAACAAAATTCTCACCCATTTCCAAAAGTTGAAATTCCGCTTTTTTGTTTCCAGGAACACAGATCCATTCTCTTACTTGCCCACAGTGACTGTGGAACAAACCACAAGCTATGGAATGAGAAATCATCCTAGTTATACAGCAGGAAAACTTAATTAGCAGACAGTTGTTGATGCTACAATACAAGTTTCCCCTTCAAGAACAAAAAAATCTGCCTGGTGGCACCCAACTCCACAGTCCATCACTCCTTAGCAGGCCTACTTTATTATCCAGCAGAAGATTCTGAACCTTGATGCCCTGCCTCAATGTGGGGTGGCCACCAGGGCATATAGCTGTACATCTTGGAGAAGCTAACATGTCAGGAGCTCTTGGAATTCATGGAAACAAAAAAGAGACAATTTCAGTTACTTATCAGCATTTAATTTCCAAATTCAAAACAAAATAAAATCACACAGTCAAGAAGAGAAAATTAAGTTTCCTGCTTTCTCATAATATATATATTTAATTCTCTTTTTTAAAAAGCCCTCTTCCCACAAGAACCTAGGTCTTCCTGTCCTAATCCGTGGCAGATGCCATTCCTACAGACCAATTGTAAGAGACTGTTATGGGCTGTGTTTGTCTTGAAATCTCTGACACACCATTTACCTGGACAATGCCCTGGCACCTTATCTCTGGGAAGGTCTCTTACCATATGCGCCTCCTAATCCTGTCATCTTATCTCTGGGAAGACTGTAATATCAGCTATCTACTTGGCATTGGAAGATCATCTCAAGACCTGAACAATGACAACAATGACAGGGCCCAGAGCAGTTTGCATGCGAATCGGGGGTTAAGAGGAATGGGGGTGAAGGGGAATACAAAAGCACACAGCACGTACAACAGGAACAACACATACCAGAAAACGTCGAGAAAATGGGAGGACCCTTTGAGAAGGGGGACATAAAGGAGCACATTTTTCCCCTCCCTGGGCAGCATGGAACATCACCTGTACCAGTATGCATGGCCTTCGGTCACAGAACATCACCTGCACTGAGACGCCTGTACCTGCACCGAAGTGGAGCCAGCGATACTTAGCTGGACTCGTGGTGGTAACTATAATCTTGTTGCATCTCTCCCGCTTGCTTGCTTATCTTTCTTTCCTTTTCTCTTCTTCTTCTCTCTGTCCTATTTGCACTTATGAGAATAAAGCTTAAAAGGTTGTATGGCATTTGACCCCGTTTGTGTCTTAATCTCACTCTTGGGAAGCGAGAAAACCTCCCCTGACACTGGATAGGGACACCAATTATTGTGGATCCAGTGAGGGGTAGATTGTGATACCACTAGCCCTACCATCTGGAAGCACCTAGTTCTTGTTCCCTTCACTCCTTCCCCATGACAGGAGTCATATGAAAGAGTATTTGGCATCTACAAACAATGATTTACTGATTCAGCTACTGCGCTATCTTCCATGAATCATCCTTTGATCACATCTTCCTGGTGGTGTCTGCTGGTTAGAAGGTTAGAAGGAACTCCTAGAGATCATCTAGTCCAACGCTCCTGCTCAAGCAGGGACACCTAGAGCACGTGGCACAGGGTTGCACCCAGGTGGGTTTGGAAGATCTCCAGAGAAGGAGACTCCACAAACTCCCTGGGCAGCCTGTGCCAGGGCTCTGTCACCCTCACAGTCAGGAAGTTCTTCCTCACAGGGAAATGGAACTTACTGTGTTTCAATTTGTACCCATTATCCCTTGTCCTGTAACCGGCCGCCACCGGGAAGAGTTTGGCCGCATCCTCCCTACACTCTCCCCTCAGGTATTTATACATATTGATCAGATCTCCTCTCAGTCCTCTCTTCTCTAGGTTAAACTGGTTCAGGTCGCTTAGTCTTTCCTCATACGATAGATGCTCCAGTCCCTTAATCATCTTTGTTGATGGACCATTTCTAGAAGTTCCATATCCCTCTTGTCTGAGCCCAGAACTGCCTCCAGGCGGGGGCCTTACCAGAGCTAAGAAGAGGTGCAGGATTACCTCCCTCGATCTGCTGGCAACACTCCTCCTCATGCAGGCCAGGGTCCCATTGGCTTTCTTGGCCACAAGGTCACATTGCTGACTCATGGTTAATGTCTTGTCAACCAGGACTCCCCAGTCCCTCTCCATGAAGCTGCTTTCCAGCAGGTCAACCCCTAATCTGTACTGGCGCCTGGGGTTATCCCTCCTCAGATGCAGGACCCTGCACTTGTTCTTGTCGACGCCCAGGACGTTCCTCTCTGCCCAACTCTCCAACCTGTCCAGGTCCCTCTGAATGGCAGCACAGCCCTCGGGAGTGTCGGCCACTGCACCCAGTTTGGTATCATCCACAAGCTTGCTCAGGATGCACTCTGTCCCCTCATCCAAGTCACTGATGAACAAGTTGAAAAGCACTGGGCCCAGTACTGACCCTTGCAGACATCTCTGCCCACAGGCCTCCAACTAGACTCGGCCCCATTTATCATGACCCTCTGAGCTCTGCCATCCAGACAGTTCTCAATGCACCTCATTGTCCACTCATATAACTCACAATCCTGGAGCTTGCCCCATGAGGACATTATGGGAGACTGTGTTGAAAGCCTTGCTGAAATCAATGTAGACAACATCCACTGCTCTCCCATTGTCCATTCAACCAGTCATCCCATTGTAGAAGGCTATCTGGTTCATCAAACATGACTTCTTGGTAAATCCATGCTGACTACTCTTGACCACCTTCTTTTCTTTGACATGCCTAGAGATGTTCTCTAGGATGAGCTGCTCCATCACCTTTCCAGGGATGGAGGTGAGCTTGAACACCCTGTAGTTCCCCAGCTCCTCCCTCTTGCCCTTTTTGAAGACTGGAGTGACGTTGGTTTCTTCCAGTCCTCTGGCACCTCCCCCGTTCTCCATGACCTCTCAAAGATGATGGCGAGCGGCTGAGCAATAACCCTCACCAGTGCCCTCAGCAGTTTTGGGTGCATCCCATACGGGTCTATAGATTTATGTGTGTCCAGTTTGCCTAAATAATCTCTAACCCAGTCCTCCTTGTTCTGTGGAAAGTCTTCCTCTCTCCCAGCTCTCTCTCTTGTCCTCAGGCTCTGTAGTTCATGGGGACTAGTCTTAGCAGTAAAGACAGAAGCAAAGAAGGCATTTAGTAACTCTGCCTTCTCTGCATCCTCCGTCACCAAGGCACTTTCCCCATTCAGTGTCAGACTAACATTTTCCCTAGTCTTCCTCTTGCTGCTGATGTACTTATAGAAATCCTTCCTGTTGTTCCTGGCATCTCTTGCTAACTCTAATTTCAAACGGGCCCTGGCCTTCCTTGTTGCATCCCTACATTCTCTGACAATATTCCTATATTCTTCCCATGTTGTCTGACCTTTCTTCCACATTATGTATGTATGTGCTCTTTTCCTCATTAAGTTTACCCAAAAGCTCCTTGCCCATCCGCATAGATCTCCTGCCTGTCTTGCTCGAGTTCTTTCTTGTAGGAATGCACCAATCCTGAGCTTGGAGAAAGTGGTGTTTGAATATTAGCCAACTTTCCTGGACCTCCTTTTCCTTCCAATATCCTAGCCCAGGGGATTGCTCCAAGTTGCTCCCTGAAGAGGTCAAAGCTAGCTCGAAGTCCTCTCTCTGGACTCTTGAAGTCCAGGGTTGCAATCCTACTTCTTGCCCAGCTTCCTCCTTGCAGGATTGTGAATTCCAACATCTCAGGGTCACTGCAGCCAAGACTGTCCCTAACCTTCACATTTCCAACTAGACTATCTCTGTTTGCTAGTATCAGGTCTAGCAGCACCCTTGTTGGCCCATCAACCACCTGAGTCAAGAAGTTATCTATCTGCAATGTTTTGCAGGAATCTCCTGGACTGTCTGCTCCTAGCTGTGTGATTATCCCAATCACAGGATAATCAGGGTGGTTGAAGTCCCCCATAAGGACCAGGGCCTGAGATCATGAAGCTTCCTGTAGAAGGCCTCATCCACTTCCTCTCTCTGGTCAGGAGGCCTGTAGTAAGCTCCCACAACCATGCTGCCCTTGATCCTCACCCCCGGGTTCTCGACTCATGCTTCATCCTCCCCTATGCTGATCTCCATACATTGAAGTTGCTATCTCAAGTAAAGGGCAACTCCCCCACCTCATCTTCCTGGCCTGTCCTTCCTGAAAAACCTAAAGGAATCCGTAGCCACGTTTCAGACATGAGAGCTATCCCACCACGTGTACATAATTGCAATGAGAGATCATGGCCCTGCAATTGCACATGCATCTCCAGTTCCCCTTGTTTATTCCCATGCTGCATGCCTTTACACAGAGGCATTTGAGTTGGGCACCCAATGTGCCTCTCATTCTAGCAGGGGCAGCTGGAACTTGACTATGTGGGTTTTCAGTAGTTCTCATATTTTGCCGTTTAACCTCTCCAGGCTTTGGGCGCCCTTCACAGGCTCTGGAGTTAGGCTTCTCTGAGTGGCATGACAGGCCATCGCCTACCTTATCACCTGCTTCCCTGATGATATCCTTGAATCTAGTTCAAAGACTTCTTGAAGAGCCCTGCTAGGGCTCTTCAGAACCCAGGACCCTCTTCCCTCTTTGAGAAAGATGAATCTCATTAGATGCCATCATGTCAGGTGCCATGTAAGGCTTCCTGTTGCCAAAGAAAACAAAGTTGTGGTGATGACACCAGCCACGGAACCATGTGTTGATGGACTGTATTGTCCTGTTTCTTTCTATATTGCTGTCAGCAGTGGGGAGAATGGAAGAGAAAAGGACCCGCACGCCTGAGTTGCCGATCATCTAACCCAATTCCTTAGAGTCCCTTTTGCTTGCCCTCAGGCTGCACGCTGCCACTTCTACTGCTCCCACATGTGAGACCATCAATGGTATTGTAATGGTAATATAGTTTGTGGGTCGAATCAGGTTTGGAAGTTTCCTGGTGACATCCTTAACCTGGGCCCCAGGAGGGCAGTAAATATTAGTAAGACCTAGTATTATTAATAATAATAATTAGTAAGACCATAAAAATATTCGTAAGACCTTCTGTTCTATAACATACAGGAAATCTAATGGGTGTCTTTTCCTTATTTCCTTCTTGCCAAAGACCAGGCAGGTGTAAGCATCATTAACTAAAGAAGACTATGGCTAACAGCCCAGATACTACTAATGAGAGCTGACTATCTTAGCAAAATTGTGCCTAAGCTTAGGCACGGTTATCAAAGGATTACAGGGCTATTACTCTTTAGCTCTCTGGTGATAGGAAAGCAGGAAGAAAAAAATGAAATTCTTCTTATAAAGGGCATTGAACAGTCAACAATCTCTCAAGGTAGAATTTCTTTGAATTTCATTAATTTATATTCATTTTTCAAATGGAAATGATAAACTATAAGCAGAGAAATAAGGGTTCTAAGATGAAAGGTATAGTTCATCTTAGAAAAGGCCTGTCAACTTTGCTTATAGCAGGTGTAAGAAACTAGATGAAATGACAGACACTCATTTTGTAACCACAGGAGGCAGACCTTGGCAAATCTTGGTCTGTTCAAATTAATAAAAAACAAGTACACAGTTGAGCACTATTTACACCAAAACCCAGAGAACGGACACAGTTTAAATCTGTTTTGCTAAATTCTCCTAATCCTACGGTTTGATTACACGTGTGGTATACCATTATTCTGCTTGATAAAACGGACAAAATATCAACATAATTTATTACATGTTATATATATAGTATATATTACAATACACAATTAATGTCATGTATTTGTTTTATGGGTAAGTAAGTGTACTGCTGTTTTTCATGATGATTTCGAGTAAAAATCCCTTTCACTGTGAATGTAGGATTCAAATGTTTATAAATATTTCCTTATTGTATTCAGTCAACCCTAGTATGGAAAAACTTTCAAAAAAGCATCTGTGATTGCACTTCATTTTAGTGATATTTCAGGTTCGTTTTGAACAAACTATACAGAAGCAATCATGCAGTAGACATTAGATTTTTACAAATTAAGCAATAAAGTACATAATTTTCTGTTTCTTGCAGAAAACACTCAAGAATTGAATTCCTATTTCTCTTAGTGTCTTCTTTTTATGAGAAATACTGCAAAGAGAAAAACAAATTATTCCTATCCTTTAATTTTGCCTTACCTAATGGGAGCTTTAAAAATGATGGAGCTTCCCTGAGGTACTGAACGGTGATGGTAACTTCATCGCCAGCGTTTCGCAGTAGGTGTACCTGTCAGTATGACAAATGACAGCTACTTTAGACCAAAGAACCACCAGTCATGGAAAAGCACATTAGTTACAATAAAATCTGCATCTCTGTTGCATTCTGTAAGAAATTCAATATAAATATTTCTGACTGGAAATGAAGAATGCTTTGAGAGTCAAGCCACACCAATAAAAGATGACAGTAGCAAGACCACAGGAACAATATGAAGAAATAATTTGGTAGGCAATATGACTTTATATACCAGCTGAACACAGTCTGTAGAACCTGGGATAGCATAGTAGGGATATATATGTTATTGTCTATTTATCTGTGTGTCTTTATGTATATATACATATACATATCTGTATGTATATGTGTGTGTATAATAATATATTAATCGTCTGTGTATACTCATGCATAGTATATATTAATACATAATATACTTTTTATATCTCATACTGAAGTGTTTTGTTTGGTTCTGTTAGTTGATACATTAAGGACATTTCTCTGTTTCAAATACAGACTTGATTTCTATTAATGTCTTCATAATCTGTAAATATTCACTAAGCAGAAGTGAATATATATGCATACGAATTCATTAGATAAATACACACATTACCTATATACATAATAGACATCCGTGTATTAAAACATAAAAATTTAATTAAAGGTATAGCACACTATTGCATAAGGATTTTTTTACTGAAGATGAAAAAGAAGAGAAAATTGAGATGACTGAAATCTTTGCTAGCAGAAGTCAATCCATCCTTCCCATATAATAAGGACTCGGGTAGATGCAAATATAAGTGAGATGAAGCAACACTTGAAATTGAAATAGTATATATTTTTTGATCTAGATCAAGTACTTTACATAAAGTGCTCAGAAACTCATGAAATTCATCTTAACTGCAAAAACTTTTGCTGGAAAGTAAAGTTCTAATGCTTGGATGTTTATATAGATCTATTATTGCATGACATTTGGATGCACCAGAAATATCTGAAATTATTTTCCCTGGAGGTAGTTGTCTTTTCAAAAGCATTCATGAAAGATTAAATAGCAGCTAAAAGAATAGTACTCCTCTTACAGGTTTTCACTCATATTTTGCCATGTATAACTGAGTTACATACTTACATATATACATATAGAGGTTACTCTTTGTTCAGAAGCTAAAGCAGATGCTCAGTAATTATGTTGAACCATCTGAATAATATTGAATCATATGTGAACACACAGTTCAGAGATATATATTCATCTATTTATTTCAGATACAGGTGTTTATATATATAGTGATATGGATAAATGATGATGATGAGATGAAAAATAGCAATGATAAAAATTAAAGAAACTGTTGATACCTCCTTGCATCTTAGACTGCATTTTTTATCAGTCTCATGTTGATAAATGTGGCTTCCCAAACCTCACTAATATCCACACTAGAATTTGAAATGAATTGATGAACTCCTTCTGGGCCAGTCACACAATCTATTCACTTCACACTATTTATGCTAATCTGCACTGTAATGGAGCCTTCAAAACTATATTGAATGCTTTTAAATGACAAATGCATTTATAAGACAGAAAGAGTAAATCATTTTTTTTGCCATGATCTAATGATAGAGTTGCTGATTTGTTGATTCACTGACCAGAACAACTCAGTTTGAAACAATTTCTACTTGTGCGTGTATAAAGTTAACAAATTATAAATTACTTTTTGGCTGTTATAATAGTAATTATGAAAATTTAAGTATTTCAAACAGCAGATTTTACATATGTCTTATAACTACATCATTTATTGCTTGGTCTCTAAAAAGTTAAAGGTTTCAAACTATCAAGATTTTTTTTTTTTGTATATTACCAAACACTGCAAAGTAATGTTCTTCGACACTGGAAGTTATTTGTCTGTTCTTTTAGATTTTTGGAATGGCCTTGGTGTGGTTTCAGCCCAGGACAACTAGTCAGCTCCCCTCCAAATTCCTAGACATACACATGTATATACATTCATACATGGGTATACTGTGCTTTAAACTTTTTATCCTGCTTTGAACGAACATGGAGGCAGGTCATTCTGAATCAGTTAGCCTCAGCCCCAGAGACCAGTCCTGCACCCATTTAATTTATAAGTGCAGATATAGCTGAAATAAAAATTGTAATGGAAAAAAAAGCTCTTTGCTTACAATAAAAAGTATCTGAAGAAATTAGGATTTCTGAACATATAATATGCATATTCATCAAAAATACAAAGGAAGAATGGGGAAAAAACGTTTTCTGAAGGGTCAGATATAGGATATAGTAGGATATAAAAAGGATATAAAAAGATCTCGTCAAGAATGCTCCTGTATCTTGTGACATAATTTTCCTTGTCACTGGTTGGTAAGTGCCCAATAGTGACTTCAGTATCGCGATATCAGTACTTTGTAAAATAGACAATTCAAAAAAAAAAAAAAAAAAAAAAACACGCACAAAGTTATAATATATTGTCATGATACTCTATTAAAATATGTAATGGAAAAATATGTGAATCAAATAAAATTACATTAATACCAAGAACTCACGTAACCAATTGCAACTGGGATTTCAGAAAACCTCCCAACATGAATTATTTTTACTGTTTGATTTCTGGAAACAAGGAAGAGTTTTAACTCACTAACACACAAACATTTTGATGTAATCTTTCAAATACAGCACAAGAACCATATGTTTAACCATATTTCAATTCAAATAATTGAATTGATTCAAATATTTGTTTCAAATAATATTTATACAACAACATGTAAACTGACTTATTTTTAAAAAAGTCAAGAAAGAAGATTGCACGCTATACATACTACTCAAGGTATTTCTGAAAGACCTTTATAAAACACTAGACAGAGAAATTCACTGCAAAAAAATTGCATGGAACAAAAAAAAACTACTGCAAAGACAGATATTTATCTTTTAATTCCACATTACTTTTTTTGAAGGGAAAACTAAAATATTTGTTTTAATTTAAAATTACCAAACAGTAATGCATTGAAAGATACTAGTGCTGTTATTTTACCCTTCTGTAGCTACTTTATATTCTTAGATAATGACCAAAGAGGGAATAACACGGAACCACACGTACTAAGAAAAAAAATCAATTTCAGTGCTTACAAGAAGGAATTAATGGTGCAGAAGATCATTAAATAATGCAAGCTCTGTAGTGCTGAAACTTTTAACACAAATCCAACACAGAAAGACAAATCCAGTAGCTCTGGAGTGACACCATTATATTGTTGCCTTTCTGTAGTAATAATGCAAAAAGTGAATTTAAAAAGGGAATAGATTTTTTCAAAATAGTAGATCAAATACATTTACTGCAGCTAGGTGTATATATGTATACATTTTCTTATGTGTTCATAGATGTGGAAGCCAAAATGGAACCAAGAAAAATGTTTGCTTTCCATGCTGTCTCCAAACTGTGGATTTTGCATATCTCTGTTAAGTGCATTTATCAAGACAGGATTCATTTTGTTTCTCTTTTTTTCACATTCTTTTCTCAGGACTATAATAGAGATATCTATTTAAAAAAATACAAAAAAAATTGTTTAAAAAATTGTTAAAAAATTACATAATATAAAAAAGTAGGACCTTCTAGATCTGACTACAGAGTTTGCAGAACAAAGTATGACAGATTTTTGCAAAACTGAACGACCCTTGTTGCGTCACCTTTACTACTAACTCCATTTTAGAGAAATCCTATACATTTAGGTTCAAGCAGTTCAGTCAATGGCAAGATTTATAGATACATATGTCTTGGGGCATTACTGATCCACAGCCTGCATTACACAGACAGAATAGGATGCTAGTTTCCCTGCTAGCAGTGAAACATTCTCATTCTCTTCCATAGTACAGTTTAACTTCTAGAGTAAGACAGACCAAGCATTTTGCTTTCATGCTGAACACAACAGCATGGCTCAAAGTTACTGTTTGAGAATACTTCCTTTCCCTTATATCACAACATTCTTATCTTTCTGGGTGAGCAGGACAGTAACTGCAGTTCTGGAAACTGTCTGAATTGTGAACAAGACTCTAAATTGGGATATGTTATTACATATTAGTTGTTGTAATTATGTTATTTCATATTTCATTATGTGTTGTTACACACATAAAACCATTTAGCAATTGAACCTGTAAATATGATTTATTTCATGGTAAGTATCCACAGAACACTCAAAAGTTTTGTGTTCTATTTGTTTATTTTAGGAGACAAATGTATTCATCAATAGTCTTCTGAATTAATTCCTACTAAGTATGTGGGTGAAATCGAATTGAAAACTAGATCAATGGTAACAAAAGCCTTAACGATGATGTTCCAAGTCAATACAGATTACGTTCTTCTGAAGTTACGGTGCCCTGTGTTTAGCATTGCTTGCTCTAGACCTTCAAATGTGCCTGAATATTCACACTGGTCAGCGTTTATACAGGGCCTTGGCTGTTTGAATGAGGTCTGTCTTATTACAGATCAGAGCTGTAACAGCAATTAAAATTAAAATGGAACATTTTTATCATGAATGAATTCACCTATATGGCCTCTTACTGAAGGGGGCAGAGCTAGAAAAATAGATTTTAAATGTCTGACATTAGGTAAAATCCCATCTCCAAGCTATAGATGAAAACTCAGATTTAACACTTAACTTCCATATGTGTAAATTAAAAGGAACTCAATCTCATGGTGAATGTCTGATCCTGAAACACAGGTGTTTCTGAAATGAAACGTAGGACTACTGATCCTTTCCCTTCTATCATCTGGGAACTTTCTCACTGCCTTCTTCTGTTTCAGTTGGAACTGTTGTTCACCTCAAACTTCCACCATATCTCCTAAGGCACAATTCCATCTGTGGCTGAAGAAATACCAAAGCTTACCAAATATAACACAACCCCACCATACGCTAAGTGAAGCTGTAATCTCTTTTGTTTGCTGAAGAACCAGATATAAATTTAGAGGCAGAAAATATATCAGCTTAATTGGAGACAAAACATGCAGAAAAGTAAGTCTTATCAA